TAATTTGCTAGCTTGATGAGATTAGGAGACGTGGGGAAAAAAAATTCGACTACCATCTCCGAGAGCCAAAGTGATGATATGAAAAGAGTACAAATGTCCATCGAGGAGTGGAACAGCGAGGGAGAGGGGGGGAGGAGGCATCGACCCTTGCTTTCCTCTCCCCTCCCCCCCCCAACAAGGACGGGGTTCGCATACGTTATGACTGCGTAATAGTGCATGACAGCAACAACGTTGCATGCAAGCGTCCATACTGGGCCTTGTACGGTAGCATGACCTGGCATGGGTGCATGAACTTGTGGCCTCGATCGACTTTCCTACTGTTATTCGTAATACAGATACAACGATTACAGGCCCTCTCATTCAGTCGAGAAGTATTACTCCGTACCGATGCACTTCTTCGCCCCGCGGCGCGCGAGCTCCCAATAGTCTCGTTTGAGATGTGGTCAGCACTGCTGATTTGCCCCCGGACCCAAGACACGAAATCGTTGCGGAACACGGTTCATCTTCCAGTAGGAATGCTGCTCCTCCCCTTTCTTTCTTTTTCTTTCTTCCCTTGCTTCTTTTCTTTTTCGGCCGGCAGGCAATGAGATCGAGAGTCTCCACCCCACCTGGTCATGTCTGTACACTTACGCAATGATGAGAGAGGAAAAAAGAGACAACAGAAGAGCATGCCGGTAGGGAAGATTTGGCAGAGCCGTGAGCCGTATCAGATGATACGGACACAGGAGGAGGAAAAGCAACATCCATGGCCGGGCAGACATACAGAGCTCGTGGCTGTTGGATGCGATGCATCCGATATCATTACCAGCAGCAGATATCAACAGCAATAATAGATTGCCAAGCAATACGGAGTACGACGACGACGACGACGACGACGACGACGTTTAAGCTGTGCAGTTTGGGCGAGTTATCTACATCCATGTATGTCCCACACCTTGTACGTCGTATACTGTATTGCTACTGTAGTATCTCCAAGAGTCAACGAGCACTATTACCTAACATTGGCTGTGTCAATGCTCGTGTTACGATATCAATATTCATCGACCCAGCGCCAACCAAGCTGAGCGAAAGAGGCGACATGGGGCATCACGACATATCGGATGCATTGACTTGACCGTGCCGAGATAGAGTCAGTTATGTGTGGTCTTGAAAAGAAAGGGTAAGGAAAAGGAAAGAGGAAAGAAGGGGGGGGGAAAGTATTCGTCAGATGCCAAGATACTCTCCCTGCATCCCGTACACGCTTTCTTCCGCATGGTCTATATACGTATACACTCCATGTACGGAGTATTATTTACGAGCGTCCTGCAGCAACACCATATAACTTGCGTCAATCGCATGCATCCTGCAGTAGCAGGTAGAATACATCCTGCAGGCAGGCTCACCAACTTGCCGGATGTCCCTATGGCGGCAAGATCCGGTCCCATTGGGCAACGGGTGCCTCATGAAGCAGTAGCCAATAGCAGAGTGTGAATACCTTTCTGTGTCTGCACGAGCTGTCGTTGTGCTCGAGTCCACATACGAAGGAATGGTGAAGATGGAGGTAGTGAAGGCTGCTGCCAGTATTAGTTGGTGTACGCATCACGTCAGCATCAGAATACTAGGAGACTAGCTGGAACTGGCATCTAAAATTCCCGTAGCCCCAGCACTGATTGACCAGAGTCGATTGACCAGAGTCGATTGACCAGAGTCGATTGACCAGAGTCGATTGATCAGAGTCGATGGAGTCTAGTGCTGCTACTCGTAGGTATCAGGTATCAGGTATTATCAGCGTGTATACCACCACCAGACCAACACCAGATTGTACGTAGCGACGTAGCGATTCACCAATCGTATAATAATCCTCGTGCAGCACTGCTTAGAGTCTTGGCCGGAGTAAGAAGGTTTGACAGGGCATCCACCCACACAAACCAACTATTATCTAATATTGCCTCTTTCCCTCCTTTCTCCACTTGCCTGCCATAACCATCTGTACAGGCCTCACCCACCACCCCCGCCACGCCCAAGGTGGGGAGGATAGGGAGGGAGCCTGAGGAAGAGAGGAGAGTAAAGAAGAGGCCGGAAGGAGTATGAGCGCATGATGGCAATTTTTTTTCTCGATACCAGGACGACGCGCACGCACACAACTTGAACAGGTTGCGCCTAGGAGAGGGAGGAGGGGGGGGGGGGCCGCTCAGCCATTTACCGAGTAAAGACCGATGGGAAGAATGGGCAAGAGCAAGCGCGCCTACCACGTTTGATATTACGTGCGTACATGTATGGGGTATACGGGGGAGTACTGGCAGTTCAAGCTGAGAAGGGCAGGTTGAGAGAGTCGCGTTCTTGTTCTTGTTCTTGGTAAAGCCACACCTGTAAATGCGTCACGTTTACTAGGGATTTCTGCACCTCGGTAGTTTTGTAACACGCAAAAGGAGGCTGACCTGTAATATCCAAGTCTTGACATACCAGCGGCAAAGTACGCCCAATGTCGCACCGTACATATGGCGCACTGCCAGTTGTTGACGGAAGGAGAAATACAGCTTGTCATCACTGCTGCTAGGACTACTACCAATTCGTCTACAACCTTGAGTACTATCGGTATATGGTACGTATGGTACGAGCGAATACCGTTCAAGTTATTACTACTCTGTATCGATTGTCGATTCATCTGAGAATCGGGTAGAAACTCCACTCGTCAATCTATCACATCCCCCGTCACGGACCTGGCTCTATGAGGGAGGGAGAGAGGGTGAGAGAGAAAAAGTCGCAAGGGCCAACACACAATCACAGATACGGGCATTACTTGACATTGACATGGATACTTGAATAATCATACCCAGACACCTAGACTCAGACCAAGGAACTCGGGCGCAATGGACGATGGTGAGGAGGGTGTGTGTGGATTCAAACATCCCAGGTGCGCTTGCTGTGTGTCAGATTTGAGGGTCACCCCCTCCATCCCCCCCCACATCAAAAGAGACAGAACTTTGTTCTTTCTGTGAAAGGGAAAAGAAAAACAAAGTGGAGGAGAAAAGAGAGGAATCAGGAATAATCTGAGCTCCATTCTTTTAGATAAGATTTCGACCATGGCACAACCGTCGAGTACATGTCACAAGTAATTAGCATAGACGCTTACTAGAGTCGTATAAGAGAGATGAAATATATATATATATAAAGAGGCAAAAAAAAAAGGCACTAATATGATCTCAAAAAATTCTGCCCACGCTTCCGTTTATAAGGAGGCTAAGGAGGAGAATCGGCGTGTCCAGGTCTCCAACCCGTTTTGACTGGTTACTAAAGGTGTCGAAGGAAGGGGGGGGGGGGGGGGGGGGGGAGAGGACGAAGAGGGTAAGGTACATGCTATGTAAGGTACATGCTATGTATCACAACACAGTACTGATATACAGTAATACCCGTCCGCCATCCTACTGCCAAAGAGAAGAGACGGTATGTGGTATGTGTATACTCTCGTACGCATACCGTACGGCATATTACGGGGTAAGCGATGAGGCCTTAAACTCGGAGTTATTTTCCCGCCCCGAATTCGTCTCTTTTCTCATTATCCATACATCATTGCTTTTTCCTATTTCCTGTTAAGAATGCCGAACTCACAGGATAAGAAGAAGAAAAAGAAAAGACAGCCTAGCAAACCGCATCAATATTTGCCACAAACTGTGGGCAGCCAGCGCACACATACATGTTAGTATTCACGCGCGCAAGTTCCACCTCGTCAGGACAGGGGAAAGGGATCTTTGATCCAAAGATCAACAAGCGCAAAAAAAAAAAAAGTCGACTTGTCCCTTCGTCCAGGCACCCGGGCAGGTCGTAGATGGATCCGAGAGGCACAGCCAGGAAAGGAGTATCACTGTATATGCGCACCAGGGCAGCTGCGGAGGAAGAAACCGGGGAACTTCCTATGGTATTGTTCAGCCATAACCTTTTGAAATTGGCATGAAATTGAAAACAGGTTCTATTTTTTTTTTGTTCAACCCATGTCCTATTCCATCTATAAGTTCTTACCCTGTACCAACCCACATTTTTTCCCCTCCTCTGTCTATTCCGATATCATGAGTAAAGGAAGGCATCGGGGACATACATCATAGACGACTTCTCGTTCGTAGATCCGATCCCTCTCTTGGGTCAGATTATCCCAAGGGTTCATCCATCTTTTTTTTCTTGCCCCTTCCAGCCCGCGTCCGTTCCCACCACACCCCGTCCTGTTCATCTGACACATCTAACGGGACGTAAATGAGAAATGACTTTTGCGTGTGTGTTTGACAGCACACTCCACACACAAAGAGAGGGGAGGAAAAAAAAAAGGAACCCGTCGAGCCGTGGCACATAGCAGGGGGCGGTTGATGTGTGCCGTGTTTTCTCTTTCTTTTCTTGATCATGCTGCCCAGGTATCTTATCGGGAGCTTGGAGAGACACATTGCCAGTCCTTTGTCTCCTTACCTCGTTCGTTTATAACAATGTCGCTTTCCCACCACCCTCCACCGGACGATATATCAGCATGCCGTGATTATCAAACCCGGAAATCTTTTTGGGGGGGAAGGAGGTTATTATCAATACGTGATTCAGCAAAATCCACACTGTATACACCGCGCCACGAAACCACCCGACATACAGTGCGAACTGCTGCAATAGTGCCGGATGCACGCACAGTCTTCCAGCATGGGGGGGGGGGGGAGACCCTAAAGCTTTGGGCCGTCAATGTCGTGCCACAATACGCCACCTACCTCATCACCGGCCTCCGACGTTTCCTGAACGACAGCAGAGACTCGCGAAGCCGTCATCTTCAGCTGCTGAGGCGCAACAAGCTCTCAAGACGGCACGTCACTTACCTCTCCTCAATACCGCCCTCGTCGAACCCGTGGGAGGGGTGGGGTGCCAAAGAGAGGTGAGGGGTAGATCGCGTGTTGCCCCGCCATCGTCAGCGCGCCCGACGAACGAATTACCAGACAGCTCTTGATTGGGGTTGGAGGGTTTGCGCGGCACCGCGACGGCCATATATCCGTCCAGCCATGAGTGAGCTCCAGAGAGCATGGGCGAGGTCAAAGGTCGGGCTTCCGGCCGAGGCGACGAACACGACGATTCTCGATGAGACGCCCGAGGAGCAGGTGGAAGAGGACGACGATGATGAACTACCTGAGCTGCCAGAACATCCGGACGACGACTCGTCGTCCGCATCTTCCATGTCGTCGACTGGCACCGTGATCCCGTCACCGAACCAGAAGCTATTTGCTCGACCTCAAGGGTATGCTGAATCTGATTTTTTCCCTCTCTTTTTGTTCTTTTTCGCAGGCCTACTGGGGAAACAAAAAACAGTAACAGCACGGGATATATAGAGGGGGAGGGGAGGAGGAGATTCGGAAGAGCAAAGCAGACTGACAAGATGTACGTGATGCGATTCACGGCAGTGTGCCAGGACGCGGGAGGACATATGAGCAGATTCCCTGGACGACATATTTCGAGCGAGAACTATACCTCCAGCCGGCCGACAAGCCAGAAGTGACGTACCACGCGTACTTAACGTCGCCCGGCGACAAGGGGCCTCTATTCGTGATGCACCACGGCGGCGGCTCCTCCGGCCTCTCGTTTGCCGTCGTCGGATCCGAGATACGCAAGGGGCTTCCCTCGGCGGGTGTCCTATCCCTCGACTGCCGGGGTCACGGGTCGACAATGTCGCCGGAGGGGGCAGGAAGAGGAGGAGGAGGAGGAGGAGGAGGAGGGACGGGGCAGGACCAGGACCAGCAGCTGGACCTCCGTCTCGAGACGCTCTCGGCGGACCTGTTCTCGGTCATCGAGCTCACGCGTGAGCGCATGGGCTGGCCCCAGCTCCCACCCATCATACTCGTCGGTCACTCCCTCGGCGGCGCCGTGGTGGTCGACCTGGCCCGGTCCGGCCGGCTGGGCGCCAGCCTGCTCGGCTACGCGGTCCTGGACATCGTCGAGGGCTCGGCCATGGACGCCCTGCAGAGCATGCACACCTACCTCTCCACCCGGCCGGCCGGGTTCGCATCCCTGCAGTCCGGGATAGAGTGGCACCTGCGCACACGCACGCTGCGTAACTCGGCGTCGGCCCGCACCTCTGTGCCCGGACTGCTCGTGCATCGGGACGGCGACGAGGCCGTGGCAGACGCTGACGTCGGCGCCGACGCCAGCGGTGTCAGCGGGCGACCATGGAGGTGGAGGACGAATCTGGCCGCCACGCAGCCCTTCTGGGAGAACTGGTTTGTCGGGCTCAGCAAGAAATTCCTCGAGGCACGCGGTGGCAAGCTCCTGCTGCTTGCCGGGACCGACAGGCTCGACACGGAGCTGACCATTGGGCAGATGCAGGGTAAGTGACGAGCAGTCGGGGGGTGGTTTGTGAGAGAGAGAGAGAGAGAGAGAGGGAGTGTGTGTGTGTGTGTTTGTAACATGGGAGGGAAATTCACTACACTGCGCAGAGTAGAAGGAGAAGAGGGGGGAGGGGAGAGATGTTGCTGACATGGTGGACCGAAATAGGAAAATACGCATTGCAGGTATTTCCTGAATCAGGACATTTCATACAAGAGGACCTACCAGAGCGGACGGCCGTGTCCCTGGTGGACTTTTACCGGCGCAACGACCGGAGTACGCTCGTCTTGCCCCCCAAGGTATCGGACATGCTGGCACAGGGGAAAAGGGTATGATCATGGTTGGGATACGCGTGGAAGGAGCAGAAGAAGAAGACGGTGATGAACGAGAAAAACGCACACACGAACACACAAGCATGCACAGACATGCATGCATGCGCACACACACACACACGCGCGCAAACGTTGCACGGGCCCGAAATGCTATTGATTCTTCTCGAATTAGAGCCACTGTTCCGAATACCCTCTCTTCCTTCAAAAGCCGGTTTCAGAGAACAGGGGAATCTGCGTGATCGACATTCATGTGTGTCCAAGGGACAAGAGAGTGCGCTCAACAACTCGTGGTAGTTAGTGGTGGTCGCGATGTGACTGTGATGCGTGGCGCAGCCCAGGATTTTAAAAAAAAAAAAAAAAAAAAAAAAAAAAAAAGCGAAAAAGGGCAGGGCGGGCATTCACTAGGTTGGTGAGTTGGTCACAAAACTCGCGTATCGCGTGTGCTACTCCGTAGAGACTCCGAGAGGGAGAAGAGAGAGGCAAAAGCGGAGAGGACGAGGAAGCCCCAGATTATTGATTGGGCTGTAGTAGAGCTGGATTGGATAGCTGAAACGTACCTTGCGACAGAGTCTTTGATGGAGAGAGAGATGGTGGTGGGGGGAGGGGGGGGGCAAAGTGTCCCCCAACTTTTGCAAGGGCAAGGGATGTGACCCCCTAAAAAAGGACAAGAAGGACATCTTTTTCTAATTATGGACAAGAATTATGGTTATGTGTGTGCTGTCCGAGGATTTCCGTACAGGGTGGCTGTGCCTTCTACGGAAGCGGCGAGACTCGATCGACGCAACAGCCATCAACCGCATCACTCAGTTATGATCCGTCATCAGGATTGAAGAAAAGAGGAGGAGAGGGGATGGAGAGGTAAAAAAAAGGAAAAAAAAAAAAAGGAAAAAAAAGTGTATCGATGATCGCGCCAATTATATAAAGTCACGTCCATCGCATCATTGTGAATCAATCATGCAGTCTTTTATATATACATATAAATATATATACATATATATAAAAATACATATAAACCGCCTCCGTACAGGTACACCTTCCACGGGGGAGGCCTCTGACATATGAGAATGGAATATATATAGAAACCCCGAAAGCAGGTGACCGAAAGCGGCTGTGCAGTAGATACCTGGCAAGCGGATATGCGTACATTGGTGCAGTCATGTTGGATGATGGTGTGAGGAAGAGGAAGAGGGAAGTGATAGTATGGATAAAAAGTACGAGCACGGATATTGGGGGAATATCGGGGAGGCCCCATAGGTTGAAGAAGGTCTCTTCTAGGGTCTGGTCTGTGTTGGCTTATGCTTCCTCAGCTGTCAGCTAGCTCTGGCCCCGGGGGGGGGCCGGGGCCCTGACTAGGATCGACCGTCAATGTGTGCTCGACGCTCGTATCCCGTGGCGGTGATTTGTGACGCAGTTTGCCATTGTTGGTACGGATACGGGGGTGTGTATTGTCATTCGACTGACTACTGCTAGTCAATGTTAATACGAGTACGGATAGTTGATAATAATAATACTACGAGGGTCCCACCAGCAGACCAGCCCTCCTGCTTCTCCCCTTCCCTCTCTCCTCCGTCTCTCTCCCTCTCAACCCTCTCCGCCTCTCACATCAGCTCCTGCACAGCTTCACAGTCACCGCAGAAACACGACGATAACCAAAGAAGAGAGAGAAAGAGGGGAAAAAGAAGAAGAAAGAAAGAAACGATGAAGTCATCCTCGCTCTTCCTCTCCTTGGCCGCCGCTGCCGGCGTTGCCGTCGCTCAACTCAGTTCTCTCAGCGACCTTCCGAGTTGCGCTGTATGTCCCACCCTCCCTTTCTCTTCCTACCTGACTCGTGAGATTCCGAGAGCGAGGGGGTGAAGGCGTAGATGAGGATACGGAAACAAAGACAAGACTGAGAGACCCCCGGGAAAAAAAAACTGACCGTCTGGTGCCTAGAAACCCTGCGCATCCGAATACACTACTGGCGGCAAGGTCCCCGGCTGCTCGGCCCTCGACCTCGGCTGCATCTGCGGCAAAGATGACTTCGTCAACGGCATCGCATGCTGCCTGGCCGACGCCTGCTCCGTGTCGGATCGCGACAAGGCCATCTCGGTCGCCTCCGACCTCTGCTCCTCCGTCGGCACCGATCTGCCCGAGTCGGTCGTCTGCAAGAACTCGACTGCCACATCCACCATCACCGCGCCCAGCACCAGCGCCACCGACGACGACGACGACAGCGCCGCTCCTCGACTGCTGAGCGGCGGCGTCATCGGTGCTGCGGCTGTTGCTGCCATGCTCGCCATCTAGGCATACGGTCCATGCATACCCACGTCACAGATGAAGAAAGGAGACAGAACAAAAAAGAAACAAAAAAAGGGAAAAAAAAACATATAACGATCGTAATGAGAAAGAGGTGAAGGTGATGGATATTGGCTATAAACGAACAATCAGGACACATTATATCATTATACTGTTCTGGATCGGATCGCACATTACAGAGCTGGATCGCACATAGACTTTGACCGCGCACAGATTGGTCTCTACTCCCCCCCCCCTCTTCTTCCTTCTTCTTGCCAACTCACCTGCTTTTTGTGTCTTGGGCCCGAAACCGCTACCTGCTGGCTTCACCACTGTACGCAGGCTATATAGACGATGGCTTTTGAAAAAAAAAAAAAAAAAAAGGACGGCCTCTGTGTCGCATTGTATGCCCGGGGTGGCGCCCCTCCTATGGCCCGGTCCGTCTGGCAGTATGAGTAGCTGCCCATTTCGATAGAACCTGATGCTCTTCAGCACGGAATTCACACAGAGCTTCTGTTCAGCTTCGTGACTGCTACATCTCCTACATCTATTTTATGTCTCTGTGATGTCGACTATCGCTGCCTACCCTGTGTTTTTTTTTTTTAAAAAAAAAAAAATTCAAGTCGACGTCTTGTCCATCTTCTACCGTCTTGCCCTGCATTATGACGTTTCTCTTCTGCCTGTCTCGCAGTCCGGGGCCGGAGAAGCATTTTCTCCGTCTGTCATTTTCAAAGAACCAGAACGATGCGTCGTCTCATGGCAGCTTCGCACACGTTCTGATGTTGAAACGGACAGTCTTTCTATTGAATCCCACTTGATGGGCGTCTACCCGTGATTCAGCGGCTCGAACGAATGACGTGATGTGGCGCTTGGTGGGAATGAGGCATGTGTTTATCCCACGTCCCATGCACATCGATACAATAACCACCGTCTGATCCTACAAGAGATATGCGCAATTCGCAATTGTATATGGATTGACTGGATGGTTCTTCCATGTTACTACATCAAGCGCCCGTCATCAAAGCTGAATCGGTTAACCAACCCCCCCCCCCCCCCCCCCCCCCCACGGTTTTGATTGTAGAGGTTAGTGACCCAATTATTAATTAATTATTATTATTATTATTTCAAAAAAGCACTCCCCCACGACATCATCGGTCAGAGTACTGATACTTCCTTTAATACTCGTATACATGCAATCCATATAATAGGTTTTTTTTTTTTTTTTTTTTTTTTTTTTCGTTTGTGGAAACCCTCGTACCATTTTCCACACACACGCGCACAAACTCACCTCCACCGCTACCCCCTCCTCTGCATCCTCCTCCTCTTACTGCAATTCCCTATTCCTTCCATTCCGCCGTTATACATACCATATGGACGCCATGAAGCGCAAGGCAGAGCCCAATGGCGCAGGCGGGCGCATGAAGAGGCCAAAGACCGGTGAGTATCGCTGTCGACTCCTAATATCACCTAGCAATGTTGATATAACAGCAAGAAGGAACAGAAGAGAAGAAAGGAGAAGAGAAGAGGGTTAAAAGTCTGACAGATTGTATCGCTATCGCGAACCAGAACTATCAACCGAGGAAGCCCACAGCCGATTCAGAGAGGGCCTGTTCGACGAGGCGGTCCACAAGCGCTACAGGGACGAGTACGCCAGCTCGGCGCCGTACAAGCACGCCGTGATCGAGTCGCTGGTGGACGACGCGCTTCTCCGGTCGGTGCGCGACGAGATCCGGACGAACGTCGTGTTCACGCCCAAGGAGACGGACATCTACAAGATCCACCAGTCGGGCGACCTGGCCAACCTGGACGGCCTGGACGACGAGTCCCTGGCCAAGCTGCCGTCGCTCCTGCGGCTCCGCGACGCCGTGTACTCGGCCTCGTTCCGCGAGTACGTATCCGGCGTGACCGGCTGCGGTCCCCTCAGCGGGCGCAAGACCGACATGGCCATCAACGTGTACACCCCCGGGTGCTTCCTCCTGTGCCACGACGACGTCATCGGCTCCCGGCGCGTCAGCTACATCCTCTACCTGACGGACCCGGACACGCCCTGGCAGCCCGAGTGGGGCGGCGCGCTGCGCCTGTTCCCCGTACAGGAGATCGAGGGCGCCGCCGACGGAAAGGTGGCCAGGACGCCGCTGCCCGACCCGTGCAAGGTCATCCCCCCGGCCTGGAACCAGCTGAGCTTCTTCGCCGTCCAGCCGGGCGAGAGCTTCCACGATGTCGAGGAGGTCTACCACGCCCGGACCGAGGAGGAGCTCGGCAAGCAGGGCGGTCGCATCCGCATGGCCATCTCCGGGTGGTTCCACATCCCCCAGGAGGGAGAGGAGGGCTACATCCCCGGCGAGGAGGAGGCCAACCTCAGGAACAGCTCCCTCATGCAGCTGCAGGGCAACCCGGCGCAGTACGACGCCCCGCAGCCGCTCGTGGTGCCCGTCGTCGACGGCGCCAAGGCCGACGACGAGGTCGAGTTCGACGAGGCGGACATCGAGTTCCTCCTCAAGTACATGGCCCCCACCTTCCTCACCCCGGACACCCTAGAGCAGGTCAACGCCCTGTTCGAGGAGGACTCGAGCATCACCCTGCCCGACCTGCTGTCCGAGAGTTTCTCGCAGAGGCTGCGCGACTACGTCACCGCCGCCGAGGACGACGCCCGCCGCGGCCCCGACCTCGAGACCCCCGCCATAGAGGCCGGCTCGCCCTGGCGTGTCGCCAAGCCCCCCCACAAGCACAGGTACCTGTACCAGCGGCCCGGCGGGCCCGACGGCCTGCGCACGTCCCGGGACGAGAACCCCCTCACCGACCTGCTCGACAACCTCCTCCCCAGCAGGCAGTTCCGCACGTGGCTGCAGATGGCGACGGGGTGCAAGGTGGAGGGTCACGACGTCATGGCTCGCCGTTTCCGTCCGGGCAAGGACTACACCCTGGCCACGGGCCACGAGGGGAAGCCCCGTCTCGAGCTGAACCTCTGCATCACCCCCACCGATGGCTGGACCATTGACGAGCTGGAGGAGGAGGAGGGGGGGCAGAAGCAGAGGAGGGCCGAAGAGAGGCAGAGGCGGAAGGAGGAGGAGGATGTCGGCGGCCACGAGGTCTACATGGCTGCCGCCGACGACGAGGACGAGGATGCCGCCGTGTACAACGCCGGGGCCGACGACGACGACAACATCCTCTTCTTCCAGAGCCCCGCCTGGAACACAATGTCCATCGTCCTGAGGGACAGCGGTGCCCTCAGGTTCGTCAAGTACGTCAGCAAGCGCGCCAAGGGTGACAGATGGGACATCTCCGGTGCCTTCGAGGTTGAGCAGGCCGCCGATGATGGCGATCAGAACGGTGGGCCGTCTGGGGCAGTGACCGGAGACTCCGATGATGTCGGGGACGAGGAGTTGTTTTCTGATGAGAGCGAGTCGGACTAAATCAAAAGTATACATGTGTACGGACGGTGCTTTTCTTCAAATTTTTACTCATTTATTTCGGTACCAGCAAGTATATGTTTTTTTCTTCTTCTGCTTCTTCTTCTTCTTTCCTCTCTCTCATTTTCGCTACCAGTATTGTCTATATAATACCAGTGCAAGTGTTCGGTACATCATCGAAGGGGGAATAGAAAAGGGTCCCGGGGAGCGGGAATTGGCGGAAACATGACGTCCCTGTGATGAGGGTGGGACGTTCTGTGATGTGAATTGGTGTACCGCAGTGGTCTTGTAAGAGTGAGAGGGATTGCGTTTGGCTTTGAGCCGAGATCCCACCAGACTCTTTTGACTCTCTTCGAAGCTGGGCCTGTAGCCATGACCTCGTGGGTGGTAGTTCCCCGGACTGACCGCCATATTATGCATGAGTATGAGGACAGGAGAGGAAATGACGCCTGTCAGCACCAAGGATGAAGTAGGAGTGAGTGTGTGTGTGCGTAGGCGGGGAAACGAGAGTCTCACGACGCGGGCTTGAGCCCCTGGACAAACAGGGAGGCAAGCTCATACTGGAGCAGACCGGTCACATGCTCAGCCTCCTGACTCCTCCCAGATCTGGTGAGGAAGTTGACAGTATCGTGGCCCAGGACGGCAGTCCACTGCAGCAGACCCATGTTGCCCGACTTTGCAGCGGCGCCGCCGTGCTTGCTGCTGGCCGGCGTGAAGCCCTGCAGCAGCTTCTTCACCTTGGCCGTGTCCTCGAACAGGCGCAATGCAGGCGTATGGTCCGGGCGGGTAGGGTGGTACAGGTGCAGGTGTGCCTTCTCGACGTCGAGCGACGTCGGGAGGCGGGCTGCCGTCTCGACATGCGCGTCGAACAGGCCCTCCGAGGGGGCTGTCCTGCGATAGGACTCGACAGTGGACAGCCAGGAGACGGAGCGCCAGGGGGCGAGCAGCATGTTGGATAGGCGCGGGTTGGAGCCAAAGGCCGACCCGGCCTGGATGATGGTAGCTATGGCCTCGTCCAGGTTGCCGTTCTGTGGCTGGCTCTTGACGCGGACGAGCTCGGCGAGCAGGAACGACGCCCTCTGGTGCTGCACATGCTCGTCCGCCGCGGATGAGGACTCGTCGGCGTTGCGCGCCACCCATTCCCACGCCACGTGGTCCAGACCGCCGGCTACGAGGAAGGGGACCAGGGCCCGCACAAAGGGCTTGTTGTCTAGGAAGTCCATGTCGCTGTCGGGGCGGGAGGAGCGAAGCCACCGGACGACGCGGAGACCAGCATCGTAGTAGGCTGTAGCGGCGGCAGCAGTGGAGGCGTTACCGCTGCTGTCCGATGACGAGGCCAGCTGTATCTGCTGCTGCTTGGCGACTAGACATCCCGCCGCGGCCTTGAGCGTCATCATGCCACGCGACACGGCGTGGTCAAACACGTCCATGGGATCTCGCCTGAGGGTGGGCGCAGGCGACGGCCGACTCGAAGTCGGCTCCTTCTCGTAGCTGAAGAGAGGGTTGGAGAGGAGGGCCTTGAGGTGCTGGTTGGCGGCGGATTGACGGGTGTTGCTGTGAGGGCTGGACGATGACGATGATGGGTGTCGCGCCGGGTTGGCGTTGTTGCTGCCGCTGCCGCTGCCGCTGCTGCCGCTGCTGGGTAGACGGCCATACTCGCGGTCAAGCTGGTCTCGGAAGGAGGATTTGAGTCCGTCGAGGAGGGCCTGGGTCTTCTTCCTGGACAGAGGGGCCGGCTCGTGGTACCCAGCGAAGAGATTCTTCAGAGACCGGGTTGCCTTTGTTGAGCGCATATCAGCGGGCGCTAGGGGGGGAGCTCGTCTTGTCTAGGGTCGGGCCAGATCAGATTGGAATATGAGAATGTTGATGGCAGGTGTGTTTCAAGATGGTTCAGTAAATTTTGGGTGGGGCAACGGTGATGATTGTGCCTGTGCCTACGGACATCACCATCACCATCATCGTGGTGTCATTTGCCAGTCGAACCACTCCTCCTTCCGAGGTCTGGAGGTACGTACCTCGCGCCCCCCCCCCCCCCCCCCCCCCCCCCCCCCCCCGGTGTTTGCGTCTGCTATATTAGGCTATGACCCATAGGCAATGCATTGCTGTAGCGGTATCTGGTGGCATCTGTGCGTGTGCAACAATATGCAACTCGACTCACAGCCGCACTCGGTACCTGGCACCAGTTTCTCTGTGCCGCCCACTGCCCAAAGAGCTGAGGAGACTGCAGCAGAAGCAAGGGAAGCTTCACTACAAGTACTGGTGGTAGAGGCACGGAGTAGAGGAGAAAAAAAAGCAACTTCTTGATGAATCTGCTGGGTGCGTGCGTCTCCTCGATGCTTAGCGCCTGTACTGCTACAGTGCCAGCACATCCACTGTAGCTCTCCAATCAGTGTGGGGCGATGGTGTCCAGGTCAGTGGGACTCCAGGTAGTAAACTCGAGGTACTCGTCCCCGGGCCCCAGGGCCCAGCCACAACCACATCACGCACACACCAACGACTCCAGAGAGGCTAGGACGTATTATGGGGGGAGCTTGGAAGCCTTGCTCCAGATGCTCGTACCCGTACAGAGTACAGAGGGCTGGTCACAGGGGCTAGAACACTAAAAAGTCAGCCCCAGAAAGCTGGAGCCACACTGACAAGCAGCTGGTCACTCTGGCCCTCCTGGCAGGGCAGCGCATCTCAGTGTCTTGTCCAGGCCCCAAGGGCCGTCACCAGCCGCTAATAATTGTCAAAACTCTGCTCTGCACCAGGCAATTCTCACCTTCTCGCAATCGCCTCCTCTGCTTCCACAATTCTGGGCACATTCTCCCTCGACGCCCTCTTTTTTCCTCTCTTCTCTTACTTTGCCCATCGCCTTCAATCCATCACCTTTCTTCATCCGAGTCTCCTCCGCAACTCTGCTCTCTCCGCCCGCAATCGGCCTCCGATTCTCCCTCTTCCTCTTCTTTTCTTTTTTTTTTTTGCCCACCAAGTGGATTTTCCGAAAAGAAAAAAAAAAGGCACCGCGACCGACGGGCCTGGCAGCGTTGCCCTAGCAAACCATCTGCTTGTCGCTCTGCAAAGAGGACAGCTGACGGTTTAAACAACACATATCCCCCCCCCCCACCTCCATCTTCAGCACATAGCCACGTCAAAGCCACCCTCGCCATGTCCGAGGTTGCTTCCCGGCCGTCCGCTTCGCGCGGCAGAGGCTCTGGTCGAGGTGGACGAGGAGGCTTTGCAGGCCGCGGTGGTCGGAGGACCAATGGCGACAAGCCTGAAGCCAAATCGGCCGACGGTCCCAACTCGGCTTTCGATGATGAGGGCGACGTGAGCGAGCTCCGAAAGCTATACGGTGACAAGACGGGTGTCATCCGCGAAATGTTCCCAGACTGGTCCGAGGTCGACGTGCTGTTTGCTCTCCAGGAGACCAACGGCGACGAGAATGAAGCCGTGACTCGCATCGCCGAGGGTAAGCGAACCCCATCAGGCCCTATCTTGCTTTGCGCAACATGGTACACCACCGGGTGCTCATGGGCTGCGCAATTGATGATTTTTGCGGCCTGCCCCCCCTCTCCCCTCTGGATCGTATCAATAGTACTAACGGACCCCCGTCTCGCCCAGGCAACATCTCTCAGTGGGGCGAGGTCTCCAAGACCAAGAAGCCCAAGGCCAAGGACATCACCACTGCACCTGCCACCACCACCGCCAACAACGATTCGTCGGCTGCCCCCAGCTCCAGGCTCGCCCGTGGTGGTCGTGTCGTCTCAGAAGGCGGCCGTGGTGGTCGTGGTGGCAGGGCTACCGACCGTGTAGGACGCGGTGGTCGGGGTGGACGCCCTGCTCAGCCTGCTACCACCAATGGAACACGTACCGGCAAGGAGAATCAACCGCTGTCCGTACCCACCGAGGAGTCATCTGCCTGGTCGACTGAGAAGCCCAAGGCGGATGATGGCGAAGTGAACGCCGTCGTTGCCGCCCCCTCCCCTGCCCCTGTTGCCGACTCCCCCAAGCCCGCCGCCGCCCCTGTGGCCAAGACGTGGGCCAGCATGCTCCGACAGTCGACCAAGCCTGCCCCCAAGCCTCAGCCCCCCCAGGAAGCTCCTGCTCCTGCTCCTGCTGAACCTACCGAACCCCAGCCCGCTGTCCCCGCTGTCCCCGCCGTCTCTGCTGCTGCCGAGGCTGCGCCCATCGAGACCGAGACCCAGCCCGAACCCGCTCCCGCGCCCGCCGAGGAGAAGACTCCTGTCTCACAGGAGGCTGTCCCGGCGACCACGACCAGCGCCGCCGAACCCGAAGCTCCTGCTACTACCTCCCACGACGACCTCACCAAGAAGAATCTCGATCAGGTCATTGACGTCTCCGAGCCTCCTACCACGCACACTGCTGCAAGCACCACCGCTGATTCATGGGATCCGCGACAGAGTACCACCGCCACACCCCTCTCGGCTGCCCAGCAGCAGCACCAGCCTCAGCGCCAGTCGAGCGGCTACGCCGCTTCGGCTATCAAGGCCACCAACGACCGCGCCGTGCGTACCCCCACGCACCAGAGGCGCGTTCTCGACCAGGAGGAGGCTGTCCGCATGCCTGGCAACAGGGAGGTTGACCGCGCCGCTGTCCAGTTTGGTGCCTTCAACCTCGGAGGCGGCGACGACGACGTTGATGGCGAACGTGAGGAGGCCGAGACCCGTGCTCAGCCACCCGTCGAGTCGCCCGTGTCGCAGCCTCGCGCCGCTCTCCCTCCCATGTCCCAGCCTGGCCCGGCCCCCGATGCTTTGCAGAGGACCCCCAGTGCTGCTGGTCAGTTGGATAGCGGCTCCTCCTCGGCAGCCCGAGCTAATTTCACCCCCGCTGCAGTCCCCCAGGGTCCCAGTGCTCAGTATGGTATGTATTGTATCCTGCTCCGGTGACGACGACGACGACGACGACGACTGCAGAGGCATGTTATCTCCCCTACACCTTCACAGCTGACACAGAATCGGCTACAGGTGCTGGTCATCCCGCCGCTGCCCAGAGCCAGCAGTACGGCCGCTTCGGTCAGCCCGCTGCCCCGGATGGAGCCCAGAAGGCTCTCGACCACTTTGCCCAGCAGAACGCCCCGGCCGCGCAGCCCCCGCTGGACTCGTTTGGCGCGCAGACGTCGCAGCCCCCCTCGGTCGGTCTCAGCTCGGCTCCCAGCGAGTACTCTCCGTACTACACGGCGAACCAGCAGGACCGCAATCCCTACGCCTACTACAACCAGCAATTTTCCCAGCAGCAGGGTGGTGTGGGCCAGCAGGAGAGTGTCCCCGGACAACAGCGTCCCTTTGGCGCGTACGGCGCGTCGGCCCAGGCCGACAACCTCAGCCAGTACCCGCAGAGCGGCATGCACAGCCAGCCGCGCTTCGGCGGCGCCAACAGCGACGCCCAGAACAGCGGGCACACGACGCCCAACCCCACGGCCCAGCAGGCCCAGCAGCAGGCCCAGCAGCAGGCCCAGCAGCCGGCCGGCGCTCCCGGCGCGCAGCCCCAGTCGCACGCGCACCAGTACCCCGGCTACAACCACCCATACTTTAGCAACCCGTACTACCACCAGTACTACTCTGGCTACGGCCAGGCCGGCTTCAACCCGTACAGCAAGGGCGGCATGTATGGGCAGCCCTACGGCATGTCCCCCAGCGCGCCTTTTGACCACGCCAGCTCGCCCGCGTCGTTCGGCCAGTCGTCTCTGCACCGCGAGAGCGGCATCAGCTCCGGCCTCGGCGAGTACGGCCGCGCCGGCGCCGGCGCCGGCGCCACGCAGGCTGGCGGTGCTCCCGGTCTCGGCGGCGCCAGCAGCTTCGGCAGCGTCAACGAGAGCTTCTCACGCGGCACCTCGTCGTTCCAGTCGCCGGGCCAGGGATTCAACAGCCAGGCTCAGCCGGGCAACGCCGGTGCCTCGGGTGACGACCTCAAACCGTTCGGCGACTCCAAGGGCGCCTCGGGCCCCTCTCCGTCGATCGGCGGCGCCCGCCCCGGATCGGCCGCGGCTACAAACAGCACCCCGGCCGGCCAGAGCGGCCTCCCCCCTCCCCAGACGCAGATGGGCGCGGGGGGCTACGGCGGATACCCTAACCACCTCCAGGGCCACGGTCTGCACGGCAGCAGCGCCTACGGGATGGGCGGTGCGGCAGGCGGTGCGACGCAGCACGGCAGCACCCCCTACGGCTCATACGGCCAGGGCGGCTTCGGCAGCGGCTACTACGGAGCCGGACAGGGCCAGGGCCAGGGCCAGCAGCAGCGCGGCGGCTGGGGTGGCAACTACCACTAGACTAATCGACTCGGGTCACCATCGCCACACTCAGTGAGATGGGGGGTCTCGAGAGATGAAGAGATGATGATGTCGAGGGGCTGGGATGAGGGAGACGAAGGGAAGAAGAGATGACGACGCTTGAGTGGTAGTTGGGGCAGGCGCAGCGGCGTACGGGAGAGAGATACGGATTCTTGCACCTTTGTGTGTGTTTTTTTATTATTTTATTTTTGGCGGCAAAGGGCAGCCGGTACATGTCTCTCTCTCTCTCTCTCTCTGCTACTGGGTCTCTGTGTACGATGTTTCCTTTTTGCGTGCTCGTCTATCCTTTCCCCCCTCCATCCCCTCCATCCTCTGTCAGCGCCTCACACATGCATACTCTTACTTTTTTTTTTTTCCTTCAGTTTTTGTTTTCTTATGGGTTCACTTTTTTTTAATCCGCTTCTTCTATTTTTTTCTCCTCTTTGAATCTCTCCCATCTTGTCTTCTTTTCCTTTTCCGTCCATGATACAACCTGTTTTTTTTGATGGCTGGGAATTGGTGAAAAGAGGGGGGGTGAAGGTGGTTTCGTTCAAAACTGGAAAACCGGAATGGGAAGATTTGGGGGAAAAAAAAGAGCATTGGGGGAAATGAAGACACACATTACGACATGGGCATTTGTTTCTTTCTTTCTTTCTCTCTCTCTCTCTGTTTGTGGAATATCTTTTGGTTCGGAAAGAAGAAGGAAAAGAAATGAAAAGGACGGAAGGTGTTTTTTTTAAAAAAAAATATGTTTCAAAGGGTTCAAACTTTTCTGTGTGTTTCTCTTTTTTTGAGAAACACAGGCGCAGATTAAAAGACACAATGAGGAGCAAGAAAAAAAAGGAATGGGCGGGAAGGGAAAGGGAACTTTGTTTGTATTATGAATGGAATCATGCTCTTTGCAATGCTTGTGTGTGTTGGTATGTAGGGAAGGTGATGTGATGTGTAGGATGGAGTGGGAGGAGTATGGATGGAATACTTCCGACAGGTTCGGTAACTCAAAAGCAACTGTCAAGTCGAGCCATCTGGGTAAGGGTATCATCGATACTCCCCTCCATCCCTATGCTCCATATTCGTACAGGTAGAAAGGAGACAGACAGAGAGAGAGACTCGCCGGCGATAGTTACCGGATGGAGACACCACGGAAAAAAACAATCAGTACGGAGTACTAAGACTGTAGTAAGCAGGCCGCGTCGACAAAAGTCCCCACCTCCGTTTTCCATGGGCACGCCATCCCCTTGAATCCGTCGTTTTTTCTTTTTCTTTTTCTTTTTCTTTTTTTTTTTTCAATCCCTTCAATTCTTCTTTTCGTTTCGAGAGTTCAACGTAACTCTTCTGTCGACTGGATGAGTCTGAACTATTTCCTTTTGATATACTGAGAGAGAGAGAGTGTGTGTGTGTGTGTGAGTGTGAGTGAGAGCGAGTGTGAAAGATGACTACACATGATGACAAAGCTACCAGACCTGGGATGAACCCGACATCGGACCCGGCTGTCGTCCCATCCACCACCAATAATCACGTGACAGATTCGGCAACGACAGGAAAGGAAACATCAGCAGCAGACGGAGGCAGAAGGGACAATGCATCTACCACGTCCGACGACAAGGACGACGACCCTCAACCTCCCTTGCCATTCTCCAAGGCACGATGCATCGCACTCGTAGCGACTGTTACGGGGGCAGCATTGCTCAACGTGCGTCCTCTCCCGTCTCCTCTTCCACGCACTGTCTCCATCATCTTCTTTTCTTTTCCTTTCTTGTATGAGGGGTTGGAATATATGAGATGAACTCGAAGGAGAACATATATATATATATATATATACATGTATGCTGACCTCAACAACCTAGACCCTCTCCCTTCAATCCGTCGTCATAATCCTACCAACCATAGGTAGAGACCTGGACATACCCGACAGCCGACAGCAATGGGTGGTCTCGTCGTACGCCCTGGCCTTTGGATGCTTCCTCCTCGTATGGGGTCGCATAGCCGACATCTACGGCAAGAGGCTCATCTTTATTGCCGGGTCGTTCTGGGTCACTGTCGTTTCCATTGCGAATGCTTTTGTTCCGAATGAGATTGCCTTTGACTTGTTTCGTGGTCTTCATGGATTGGTAATTTGCTCCCCCCCCCCCTCCCAACTCAGTCTGACGGAAAGCCTGACGACGACAAAAAGGGCGCCGCTGCCAATGTCCCTACCGCGATCGGTATCCTAGGCGTCACCTTCCCGCCTGGTCGGGCCAAGAACTATGCTTTCAGCACATATGGTATAGAGACTTCTCCTCCCTCCCCTTCATGGATCTCCCTCCCCCCTTCTGACCTCCGTCGACAGCGGCCGGTGCTCCCCTAGGAAGCGTCCTGGGCAACATCGTATCCGGATTCATAGCGCAGTACGCCAACTGGAAGTGGGTGTTCGGCGCCAGCGCCATAATGGGCGGGTGCATAGCAGCGGCGGGCTTCTTCGTGATCCCGTCGTCGCCGTCGCCGTCGCCGCCACCGCCAGAGACATCGCCGCCCACCGCGGCAGGCAGGGAGAAGAAGACGGCGTCCGCATCGGTGGACTGGATCGGCGCGGTTCTGGTGACGGTGGGGCTGCTCCTCCTGCTGTTCTCCCTGACGGAGGGCAACGTGGTGGGCTGGTCGCGGCCGTGGATCCCCGTGCTCATCGTCGTGTCCGTGCTCATCCTGGCCGTCTTCGTGGCGTGGCAGCACCGTCTGGAGAGGCGCAACGCCGTGGACCCGACCAGCCGCAGGCCGCTGGTCAAGGTGTCCATGTTCCGCAGCGCGCGCTTCGCCGCCGTCATGGCGATCATGTGCCTCTGCTTCGCCTCCTTCAACAACTACCTCGTCTTCGCCACCTACTTCTTCCAGGACTACCAGGGCCTGTCTCCCATCCAGACCATGCTGCGCTTCATCCCCACGGGCGTCGGAGGCGCCGTCATCGCCGTCATCGTCTCCCAGCTCATGCACCGCGTCCCCACCGCCCTCATACTCGGAACCGGCAACCTCGCCGTCTCCGTCTGCAACCTCCTCTACGCGGCCCCCATCCCCGGCGACGCAAACTACTTCGCCCGCGGGCTGCCCGCCATGCTCCTCGCCGTCGTGGGCGCAGACACCGCCTGGCCGTCCCTCACCCTCTTCACCTCCAGGGCCCTGCCGTCCGAGGACCAGGCCGTCGGGGGCGCCCTCATCAACGCCGCCGGCCAGCTGGGCCGCGCCATAGGCCTGGCCATCAGCACCGCCGCCCAGACCGCCGTCATGGCCAGCGGCAGGGGCCTCCCCGTCGAGCACGCCGGCGGCCTCCGACCCTGGGAATCCACCACCCTCGACGGCATCCGTGCCGCCTCCTGGGTCAACTTCGCCCTCGGGCTGGTGTCGCTGTGCCTCGTGCCCGTCGCCTTCCCGACCTTGGAGATAATCGGCAAGCCTCCTCCTCCTGCCGCCGCGGCGTCGACACCGCCTGAGATGCTCACTACTGCTGGTGATGTCGAGGACGGTGCTCGGCATCATCCTGGGCATGCGAAGCAGGTTGCCAAGTGATGACGCCCTTGAACATGCTCGGATGCTTATCTCGTCTCGGGTCACGTCCCACAAGACCATCTGATATCTACTCGGCCGTTTTGAACTTGGAGGAGGGGAGGTTATATTTGCCGGCTATTCGCCCGTATCAAGTATATATACATCCATCCACTCTATCTTTGTTGACCATGCGTATTATCAATCAGTATGCATCGTATATTCTGCATGTTTAACATGTTTAGCATCTTTCCTTCATGTATCCCAATCGTGTTCTTCATGTGCCCCATGGTATTATGATTCCCCCCCCCTTATAATGCTCCCATCGTCTTCTCTCCATGCTTCACAATACTCCATGCCAGTAATCCGAGTCTATAAGGGGAATATATATATATATATGTGTGTGTGTGTGTACGATAGAAAAACAAAAACACACAGCCATATGCAAAAAAAGAAAGAATCAAACATGTCTTGGGAAAAGAGATGAGCTGTATTCACCTTCGCATCTTACCATTAAACCTGGCCAACTGCACAGATATCCAACTCTTCTTCTCCGTATCCACATCCAGACCATCCTCGTGCTCATCATCATCATCTTCCCCATCTCCATCCCTAGCCATCCTCTTGAGGTTTTCGAAAATGGTTGGATCCTGCTCCAACTCCTGCCAAATCTCGATATTCAACACATCCACCGTCTTCTCCTCCCCTTCCTCATCAACGTCATCCTCAAGATTGCTGCCCTTGCCGGTACCCGATGGCTCGCCACCGGCAGACCTCCACCACGGCTGTGAGGGTGAAGGACGGGAACGCTCCCTCCAGCGCCTGGCCGCCCTGCCCAGGACGCTGACGTTGCGCCGGACGACCTTGAGCAGGATGTCCATCATGCCCAGCAGTGCTAGCACGACGAACAAGGTGGCCCACCACGTGGCGTTGCGACCGTACTTGGTGGTAAAGGTACCGCGGATGGCGTACGGTCCCGAGGGGGAGGCGGCGAAGACGCCGTCGAGGAAGGCGCTCCACGCCCACCAGCCTATTGTCGTGAGGAAGAAGGAGAACATGACGATGCCTGTCTTGTGGTGGGTTTCAAAGATGCTGTTCTTTGTCAGTTTTCAACTATCTCGGCGTGTGTGCGGGTGTGTGTGTAGCCGTTGGATAGAAGTGAGAGGGAGAGAGAGGGGGGGGGGGGGGGGGGGGGANGGGTTTCAAAGATGCTGTTCTTTGTCAGTTTTCAACTATCTCGGCGTGTGTGCGGGTGTGTGTGTAGCCGTTGGATAGAAGTGAGAGGGAGAGAGGGGGGGGGGGGGGGGGGGGGGGGGCAAGAAAAAAAAACATACAACAACTTCCAGTTGATCCACAGGATCCCGACAGAAAACGTGAGCTGGCCTAGCGCATAGAGGCCCGGGTCCCCATTACTCGGGACGAAGTACCCGTACCCGGCCCACACGCCGTACCACACCAGGACGCCCTGGCAGGCCGCGTGGAACATCCACCGCGTGTAGTTCCACAGGTTGAGCCCCCGGTTGCGCTGGCCGTAGGCGTACAGCTCGGGCACGGCCAGCAGCGTCTCGGCCTGCAGGTCCTGCTCCCAGATACCCATGCAGATGGTGCACAGGCTGGTGAAGAGGGTGTTGAACACGGTCAGGCTCGTCGCCTCGTACAGCGACGTACCGGTGTAGCCGTTGTAGCGCTGGTAGCACGCCGTGGGGAGGTAGAAGAACATCTCCTTCCAGAACGTGCACAGGATGAATTTTGCCGTGCGGACGTAGTTCCACCTGCCGTGCACGAGGAGGAGCCGCTGCAGGAAGCGGAACTGTGCGATCGAGTAGTCGGCCACGCGCGCCGCCTGGAGGCCCTCCTTCCCGGAGATGCCCACGCCCACGTGGCTCGCCTGGATCATGGCCAGGTCGTTGGCGCCGTCGCCTATCGACAGCGTCAGGCCGCGCTTCCGGCCGCCGCCCAGCGAGCGGATGCGCGACCGCACCTCCCGGACCAGGAGCGCCTTCTGCGCCGGCGACGCGCGGCAGCAGATGACCGAGTCGATCTGCACCATGGCGTCGAAGAACTGCGCCGACAGCTCCGGCGACCCCTCCACCGCCGCCAGCGTCGCGCCGTCGACCACCACCACGCTGTGCATCGGGCCCACCTGCAGGTCCTCGGCCAGCGTCGCAAGCTGCGAGTCCAGCGCGCCCTTGGTCGAGTCCAGGATGTACAGGTCGGACCCGGGGCGGCAGATGCGCGCGGAGTGCGCGATGTTGATGGCCGTCTCGCGCTTGTCACCCGTCAGCATCCACATCTTGATGTTGGCCTTGCGGAGCCGGTCCACCGTCTCCGGAACCCCCTTCTGCAGCTTGTCCTCGATGGCGGTCGCCCCGACCAGGTCAAACGACTGCTCGATCAGGTCGCCGGCCTCCTCGATGCGCTGCTCCCGATCCACCAGCGACGTCGTGGCCTCGTCGTACGTCTTCTTCCACGACTGGTAGTCGGCCTCGGGGACGAACCGCTGTGCGTAGAGGAGCGTTCGCAGACCCTCCGACGCGAACTCCTCCAGGTGCTGGAAGCACCTGGCGAAGACGTCCGAGTCGCTGATGAAGGTGCGGTCTTCGAGGAAGGCGAACCGCTCGGGTACCGGGACGGGAGTGCGCGCAGCAGGCGAGAGGTACGGGCCCTGGCCCCGACGACCGTCAAGCGACGGGCCCCTAGCTCCCACGCTCGACCTCGGGAGGTCCTGCGAAGGCCTCAGCAGCCTGGACGCCTCGAACGAGCTGCTCCTGGGGGCGTCGGACTGCCTCAGCTCCATCGATATGCGCGGGTGGCGGCGAATGGCCAGGCTGCTGCGGCTGTCGAGGCTGCGTCGCAGATCTTGGCGTTCGCCGTAGCGCAGCCTCTCGTGCTCCAGATCCGCGCTCTGGCGAGCCTCGGTGGCCTTCTGCTTGGCCAGCGAGGACATCTTCAGGCGCGGGAGGATGGCCGAGTCGGCACCCTTGCAGATGACGGAGATGCGCCCGTCCGGGTAGCGGACGACGACGGACATCCTCTTGCGCGCGCTGCTGAATTCGATGACGTCGAGGACCTGAAACGTCTGCTCCTCTGCCTGGCCATCGTCTCGGTCCAGCCTCAGAGTGATGGACCGGGCGCTTCGCCGGAGGACGGCGTAGCCCAGCTCCTTGGCGGCCTTGACCAGGGCGAGCTCATCCGGGGACGAGGCCTGGTATTCAACCTTGCCATCGCGGATCTCCGGCAGGCAGGTGTGGCACAGGGCCATGGCAAGCATGTACTCCCTCGCCTTCCGAGAGAAGGACGAATGCGGCCGAAGCCTGACGTACTCCAAAAGGTCGTTGGTGTTGACTTCCGGCTGCACATGGTCGGGCCGCCCGGTAGATTGCCAGTGCGACGAGGACCTCCTGCTCGCCGATACCGACCGCCTCCCCATCGACGGCCTGGATGGGCTGACGGGCGTCTCGGCGACCGGCACGGTCTTGGCTTCGGGGACGACGAATGCGAGGGGCTGCGGCTTGTGGATGCTGGAAGACGAGTCGCTGTTCTCGCCCAGGGTGGACGACGACGCGTTCCCGCCATCTTCGTCGGCAGCTTCGAGGTCCATCTCGTGGAGCCAGACGGTCCCGGCGACGCTGACTTTGCGAAATTTCATGACATTGTCCGTCAAGGTCCCCGTCTTGTCGGAGAAGATGTAGCCGATCTGGCCCAGGTTTTCGAGGATGGTGTTGGTGTTGCACCGCGCGGGCGTATCGGACTCGTCGTCGTACATGTGGATGTCGGAGTTCATCATGAGAAGCTGGCCGATCTTGACGATCTCGAGAGTGACGTACAGGGACAGCGGGACCACGTTGTTGAACATGATGATGAAGGCGATGATGATCTCGTGAAAGGGGACGGAGGCGTGCTTCAGGTACCAGGCATGCCTCTCATACTCCCCCTTCCACTCGATGTAGCCCATGGACACACCCACGGAGAGGATGACGACGTAGATGGCGAGGGTGACGACGATCTTGTTGTTGACCTTTTCGAGCGCGGGCTTCTTGGCCTTGGGGTGCTGGTTGGCATTCTTGCGGATCTTGGTCTCCTCGCCCGTGCTGACGACGACGCCGACGGCGCAGGCGGTGTTTCGGAGGACACTGCCACGGTAGAGGACCTCGTTGACGGTGAGGGGCATGGCCTCGCCCCGGACGGATACGCGGCCGTTGAAGCTGTACAGGTCGGGATTGGGGTCCTCGACGACGAGCTCTGCGCCGCACTGAGCAATGCCGGCTATCGTGTCGCAGCCCTGCAGGGCGGGGCATACCTGCTTGCTCTTGAGGTTCGTCTCGCCGTCGAGGGCCATGGTCTCTATATAGGCCAGGCCGTTCTCGCCATCGCTGTGCAGCAGCACCATGTCGGCGGGGACGGGCTCGTCGCGGCACAGACGAAGGACGTCGCCGACCCTGATGTCGCCCCACCTGACGGGGACCCAGCGAACGCCCTGGTACTCCTCATCCGGGGCGGGCCAAGGCTTCGTCTCGTTCCTGGGTCGGAAGGGATTGAGCCGGGTCACGAGGGACTCCTGCTCGATCGCGCATCTGCCGTCCCTGCCCAGAACCGTGGCAAAGTTGGCGTTCTCGATTATATCCAGGCGCTTCCGCTTCCAGTCGTCGTAGCCCTCTTTGATGATGGTGGCGATGACGAAGAACATGAGGGGGAGGATGGTGGTGTAGGATCCGGTGGTGGACAGGCCGGGGATGGTCTGAGGGATGCCGACGCAGAGAAAGTAAAAGTTGCCGACGCGGGAGAACTGGAAGAAGATTTGTTTTGGGACGAAGTCCCAGACGGTGTAACGCGAGGTGCGGATGTCGTTGGACACGTAGGAATGCCCGCGGCGAGGGTCGAGGAGGGGCGAGTCGAGCTCGATCTTGAGGGGAATACGGCGGCCATCGCTGGAGGCGGCGACGTGCTTCCGTCGCAGCATCGGATGGACGATTGTGTGCCGGTACAGCCAGACGAGGACGGCGACGACGCGGCGAATGAGGCCATCCTTGAGCGCGGCGGTACGACGGACGAGGCGAGAGTAGTATGTCTGCCCCTCGGCCGGTGCCGGGCCGAAGCTCGCGCGCTTCCCCGTGACCCCCATGGCGATGATGGAATCCGGGCTGGGGGTTTTCGGCAGGCGCGGCCTAGTGAGCGAATATGGACCTGCTCCCCATGGGGAGGAACGACGGGAACGGTAAAAGGCGTTGATGGGAGTTGACCGGTAGGGGGGGGCGGCTAGGAGAGAGAAGGGGAGAGGGGGAGAGGAAAGGAGGTTGACGGCGACAGATGTTATCTCGCACCCGCCTGTATCGCGGTATCGACAACGTCGCAGATGCGCAGTGGGACGGACACCAGCAAGGTCGAGGAGTGGGTGGCGGTAGCGTCGCAGCACCAGTCGACCGAATCGTGGRGGKGGGGGGGGGGGGTACGGTGGATCGAAGCTTACGAGGTAGTCATGGTCGAAATGACGGGGAAGAGACGAGATGGATGCGTTGAGGGGCCCAAGACGAATGATGGGACGACGTTGTTCAAACGAAGGTAATATCGAATACAGACAAAGAAAGAAACAAAAAGCGGGATAGAAAGGAGATGGAGTGGGATGGAGTCTGCCCTGGAGGGTGAAGAGCCTAGAGGCGCGTCGACGGCAATGCTAGCGATATGCGGAAAATAGAGTATTCGACAGGTTAGCGTCATTCGAGGTCACTGGTCAGCGAGTGGTAGCCTGTAGGTAATTATCCTTGGTACGGGTGCAGCAGTGACGGCAGGGTATTATTATGATGTGTACTCCGCAATGTATATGGGGGTATATGTACGGAGTAACAATCACATGTACATGTAGGCCGTAGTAGTATGGGTGGGTAGAAAACTGTAGCAGGTTGCAGCCTATAGCGCACTGGGATACAATGATACGAGGACAGTCCGGCCTGCGGAAGAGAATCTATGCATTTACTCGTACAGGTAGGTCGCTTTGCTCGATTGTTCTGCACTCCGTACGGGTACGAGTACATATAATCAGACGATGGACCGAAAGCGGGGAATGTACAGGTTATTGTAAGCCTTTGCTGTCAGATGAATGTCTCGTAGCTTGATATTCTTCGAAACATTGGACAGCAATAATAAGATGTGAATGATCATGCGTAGTAGGCTCATACTACTATTCGTAGTAGACTATTCTGCCGTATCAATCGGACGAGTGCGTACTCCGTACATGTACATTATACATGTACAGTACGAGTAATAATGCAATCTATCTGTATTGATATAATCAATTGTAATGAATAATAATTCAATAATAACACTCCGTATCCGTACATATACGAGCATATAAGCTAGCTGTCCAGGTCCCCTGCCGCCCCTCCCAATCCATGGCGGCGGCATGGCGAGTGGGTGGTGGTTCATAGGCCGTTCATCACAGTGGTTACGGCGCTGTAAGCTCCCCCCCCCGCGGTGATTGATAGTGCAAGGACCACACCGACCATCTCGCCTGCCAGCCCCCGTGATGTCTGCACCTCTTGTAATTGCCCATAACCGATCGATAGGCGGCTGTAGGGGTAACAAATAGCAACACACAACGTACGACCGTATGGTGTGGGCAGATAATACGATCCGGCACCGTATAACAAGTAGACATCGCGCCCATCGAAGCCAATACCCATGCGACGCATTATACGGAGGAGTATTCATATCATCGGTACGGAGTGATGATGTACTCCGTACTCTGCTCTGCAGTCGCCTCTAGGTTCTCTCTGCACGCGTTCGCGGTGGCCACTTGATGGGTCAACCACCCCCACCCCTATGGGCTGTGCCACCTGTTCGAGTATTATTCATGTGGATCGTAGTCTTCGGAGCCCATGTATGAAGACGAGGAACGGATGCATGGCAGAGCCGTGTTCTCAATATCGGCACGAGTACACAATCTCTGAGAATGAGTATGAGATGGACATCATTCATCTGCAGCGAACCATCGTTCAACGTCGATCCGCGCCCCGGTATGCTTGTTCCCTCCTCATTCCCATTCGTGGCCCCGCCGCGGTGAGAGGACCATGTCTCATCTCTCGCACGACGACGTGCCTACCGTCATCGCGCCCGAGCCGAGCAGGTCGTCTACCCAGTTCCTTGGTGGCTGAGTTGGCGGCTGGTGATTTCCCGGATATCCCTGGCCAGACGCAGCCCTCTCGTGTGGATTCCGTCCAGCTGGCAAACCCGCTGCACACCACCTGTGACCCTGAGAGGAGGAGGTGGCGGCAGTATAGAGGGAATATCACGTCTCAGCCCTGCAGATTCCGAGATTTCGACTTCCAGTGATGCTGTCTCCCGTCTACACCTGCTCGCACACCTGTTTACGTGCCTATCCATGTGTCTGTTCCCGCCCGTCCTCACATCTCGTCACCTGCATCGCATTCTCAGAAGCACCCGGAACCCTCCGGGCGGCGAGCTGCGTCTCGCCAGCCTGCTGGCCGTGCACCCGAGTTGGCCTGGTGACTGTGTCAGCTTGCTGTCTCGCCGACCGAGCAGGTCCGAGGTGCAGAGCTCCGAGGACGCGCACGTCCTGTCTCACGGAACACCGGACGGGATTTCTTCCTTCCCGAGCATCTGCATACATGCACATGCCGTCTACAGGTGCAGACTGGCAAGCCGCCCCTGCGGTCAGGCAGGGTGCGTGTGTGAGCTGTGGGTGCCTTGGGCGGCGCGATGATACGATGATGCACATTCCCTCGTAGAGACTGGAGGGCGGTTTCCGGGGAGGGGAACTTTTGATGAGTGAGCTGCTCCCGACTCTCTCTGCCGTCGAAGACCAGGCTTCCCGAAAAAGGAGAGGAGGTTTCCAGACCGTGAGTCATCGGTAGGCTGTAGTAGTTGACCTGACCGATAAGAGATCGGCTGATGGGGGTTTTCTTTTTCCTCTTCTTTTTTTTTTCCATCATCACACTATTTCCCGGTATCTGAGTCTGTGTGCATTTCGCTCCTTCGTGGGACGCTATCCCCCCGTCCACGGCGAGTTTGCAATCGTCGTCGGCCATGTCCAGCGCCGTGGTCGTGGATAGATCATCTGCACCGTCGCGGGTATCCACCAGACGAGCACGGTCATGATGATGGCATCTCGTGGAAGCCCCAGCTCGTCTTCGAGACCCTGGGCAGACTCCCTCAGCAGCTGCTCCGATGGCAGCCTCCGTCACTTTCTGAAGCGTCCTTTACCCCAGCCTCGGGAATAAGACGTCCGCCTCTGACGTCGGCCTCTCCAACTCCGTCGCTGATAGAAGCAGACGTGTTCGCCATGAAGATCTGGCGGAGTACACTTATATCTTCAACCTTGGTAGGAACTTGTGGATCTGCTGAGCTCCCAACACCGTAGTTGCACATTTATGGGCCGAAAGTCGTCCTCCGGGTGTTTGGATCGTGAATCGAATCGGTGCGATTGAAGTCGTCTTTTTGCCTTGACCATGTCAGCAGCGGGTCGGAATAGTGACACTTCCCCACGTCACTTCGCAACCCCTATGATGTTATCGATTGACTGGTACCTGGTCGGAAAGAAGAAGAAGAAGAAGGTGTGCATTCATATCGCCAGCCTCTTTCGTACCCTTAATAGGCCTAGTAGTATTATTATATTAAGTATTGCTACTCGTACAACCATCGTGTCAACACGGCGGATCATTTCGTCAGAGTGATTCATCACATAGCAATACGTCGCAAGACACACACACACACCAAAAAAGGACCAAACGGTAAGACATGGATCAGTTCGTACCTTTTGGGGGAACTAGCGAGGACGGAAAGGGTCAAACTTGCATAAAGTATCGAATGATGTATCAGTCGTTAGCTCGTCACATGATTCTGAGAGGATGCACTGATCACGCACGTAGAGGACAGGAAAGGAGGGGGGGAGGGGGGGAGAAGAGGGGCGGCAACTGCATAAGGAAAAGATGGACCATGTGCAAGATGTGAGAGGAAGATGAAACCATGTGCGAGAAAGATTTAAAAATATGACATGTTTCTAAAAAAGAATTCTATGTAATTTATTTTTTTTAAAAGGAGAGAGAGTTTTGCCGTCGCTTTGTACGTACACGTACAGGCGGCCAGTACTGCGTACTGTAGGTAATATCGATAAATAAATGGTCTGCCCGTCGTGATGCTATTGAACCCATGCCTTGTCCATGTCCCCAACTTTCCACCCGAAACCAATTCTTCCGAGTAGTAGAAGGAAGAAGGAGAGGAGAGGAAAGGGAGAAGAGAAAAAGCAGAGAAAAGAAAGGAAAGGAAGAAAAACAGGAAAGGAGGAGATAAAGTAAGAGGGAAAAAAGAAAAAAAAAAAACTCCATTCTCCACCGGAAAGAAAAAACCGAAGAAAAAAAGCAATTCTCATATAACAAAATCTGTGGCTTATTACTTATGACGAAACACATCTCGAATCTCGTCCGTGGACATGCCCAGCTCGAGACAGAGCTGCAGCTGAACCCTACACCGCTGAGGGTCCAGGAAGCCGCAGCCTATGCCGCCGCTGCTGTCGTCGACGAAGCCGGACTGCGACCGGCTGCTGGTCATGACGACGACGCCCGACCTGGCAGCCTGGGCGTCGACGTCGTACCTGGCGGCGGTGGGCCACCAGCCGGCGCCGACGCCGGCGAGCACGACGCCCCTGGCGCCGAGGTCGACGGCTGATCGGAACAGGTGGGGGTCCAGCTCCTGGTGGGCGTACAGGATGTCGACCTTTGGCAAGGTGCGGGTCTCCTCCTTGCCGGGGGCGTCGTGGCCGTCGTCGGCGCCGAAGCCGAGGTCGAAGTGCCGGTGGCCGGTGGGCCGGACGGGCGGGTAGAAGAAGACCGGGGTGGTGTTCTCGAAGACGCCGAGGTAGCCCTGCTCCGGGGCGCGGAAGGCGTCGAGCCGGTTGGCGTTGGTCTTGGTCGTGAAGCGGGCGGCGCCGATGCGGTCGTTCATGGCGACCATGACGCCGCGGCCGCGGGCGTCCTCGTCCGCGGCCAGGGCCACGGCCGTCAGGAGGTTCATGGGCCCGTCGGCGCTGACGGCCGTGGCCGGCCGCATCGCGCCCACCGCCACCACCGGCTTGTCGCTCGACAGGGTCAGGTCGAGGAAGAAGGCCGTCTCCTCGAGCGTGTCGGTGCCGTGGGTGACGACGGCGCCCTGCGTGTGACGGCTGTCCAGGTCGCGCTGGAGCCGGCGCGACAGCCGGACTAGCACGTCGCTCCGGATGTTGTGGCTGCCCACGTTGGACACCTGCACCGTCCGCACGTTGCTGACGTTGCACAGCTCCGGCACTGCCCCGATCAGCGTCTCCACCCCCAGGGTCCCGATCTCGTACCCCGTCATGTCGCGGCTGCTGCTGGCCGAGCCGGCTATCGTGCCCCCCGTCGCGAAGACCGTCACGTTCGGCAGCCGGGCGTCGAAGCAGCTGAACTCGCTGACGTCGTGGTACCGATCAAGGTTGCTCTGCCGCGGCAGCGTATGCGTCTGCATCTGCGTATGCGTATGCGCGTGCGTATGCGTATGCGTCTGCGTATGCGTCTGCGTCTGCGTCTGCATCTGGGCCTGTGCCTGTGCCTGTGCCTGTGCCTGTGCCTGTGCCTGTGCCTGCTCCCCTCCTGACCATGTCCACTTATGCCATCGTTCCGCCCATAGGGAGTCTGCCTGTTGCTGCGACTGTGACGACTGCCCCTGCTGCAGCAGGATATATCGTCCTGCCAGGGCAGTCAGTGTGGCCGTTCCGATCAACATGGTGGATACTGTATGCCAACGACGTCGTCGCCGCATACCCTTCCTATGCTGCCTGACTCCCAAGATCCCCCACCTCGAAAGGTATAGGAGATACAGTGTGACTGACAAGAAAGCAGAGAAGGGATACGGACAAGAAGAACGACCAGGAAGTGGGGAAGTCGCGGAGAGAGAGAGAGAGGGGGGGGGGGGGGGGAAGAGAAGAAGAAGACAACCCCTCTCTTTCAGCTTGTTCCAAGTCCCCCTTTTTCGGTCGTCTTTGTGTGCTTCTTCACAACCACGCCCTCTTTTCAACCAACTCTTTATTTTTATTTTTTTTATAAAAAAAAAGGCGTATATACCCCCCCCCTTTCTTTCTGTTTCTTGAAGGGACTATGTCCTCTTGGTGGACAGAGTGGTCGGAACGAATAGTATCGTATGGTTGTCTGCCGCTCTTCTCTCTCTTTTTTTTCCCCCGAAACGCAATGTGGGGATCATGTACGATGACACGTGTAGAGGGGGGGGGAGGGGAAGCGGCAGCCACTATGAGCATGTAAAGCCCTCTTTTCTTTCTCTCCCTGGTCGTCGTTCTGCTTTCAGGATTTGGCTGTAAGTGAAAAGAGGGGATTCTATCATAAAAGTGAGAGGGAAAGTAAGGAGTGGGATGGGAATCATGCGCGTACACACATAAAGGTGGTAGGTATTATATGGCAGTGGATATGAGAGAGGTGGGGGGGGTATGTACACCCAGACAAGGAAGGTATATATATATATATATATATATATATATATGTATGTATGTATATATATATATGTGTGTGTGTGTGTGTGTGTATGTGTGTGCGTGTGTGTGTTATATTATATATATATACATTATACGGAAAACAAGTGAAGCTGTCCGAAGTGTCATTTTTTTTCTTTTTTTTCTCTTCTTCATTCACTTGTTTCTTTCTTTTTTTTCTTTTTCGGTTACTACTCACTCTTGCTCCTAATATATATCAATAATATATATCAAGGGATGCTGTCTCTGACCCACGGAAGAGGGTAAGAGGGAACGAAAGAGAAAGAGAAAGAGAAAGAGAGAGAGAGAGAGAGAGAGAGAAAGGGATGAGCCCACACACACACACACGCACACACGCACACCCCTCCCCCCTCCTGAGAGACGCAAAGCCTGTTTGTCTCTGCTACTCTCCTGACAAGCTGGTACTCGAAAGGATCTATAACCCATCGCACAGCTTGGCCACATTCATTTGGGGAGAGAGGCCGGCAGGATCGGGAAAGCAAAGCCAAGAGGACCAGGTACAGTGGATGACATGAATGTCCGAATATCAGTCGATTGTACGAGCACCATCACTGGTACGCTGTCATGACTCTGACTCTCTGTGACTTCATGCTGCTTGGTCATCTCTCACATACACACACACACACACACTCTCTCTCTCTCTCTCTCTCCCTCCCCTCCCCCCCTGTCCGCCCTTATTAGGTCTCATGCACACGCCCCTCGTGGCTTTTTCTCCTTTTTCCTTTTTCTCTCAATTTCCTTTTTATCTCTATCTCTCTTAATGATCCCGCTTTCCTTTCTTCTTCTGGGTTTTTTTTTCCTGGCCTCTGACCCTGATTATGCCTCCCTCCCTCTCGCTCAGATCGATCTTTACATCGCCTCATGCATCACGCGCATCTTGGTGGTAGATTTGGTTCCAGCTGGGGGGTTCAGGAGGGAGAAGATTAAGATGATGATTATGATGATTAGATATTCTCCATCACAACTAATGTACGTATGTGTTTTGTGTTTTGTGTAGTGTGTGTGCGTATGTGTGCGTGGTTAAATATATGCAGTCTGCGTCTTTTTTTTTTTTCTTCTTCTCTTTCTTCTCCATCCAACCCAATACCCCCTCCCCCCCTGCTAGAGTGATGTTATCATTACACGCCCCAATGCTTCGGATACTGGACACAAATTCAGCTCGATTTATTATCATCCTTTCTTTTTTCTTTCCCCTCTCCTATGGATATTCTCCGAGGGCAATCGTCGCACCTCCCCCCCGCAGACTCTTGTGAGTTTCAGATCTCTTCCTCTGCTGATGCAGTCGTGCTTGACTGTTGACTGCAATCGCACGAGTACAGCTGGTATCGGCATTAGTCGTGTGTTATGATATCAGTAGCTTGGTCCTTTGTTCTTATTCCAACCTGACATCGGACACGAGCTGACTGGGTTCGGATGTCTTATCCCTCAGCCTTGCCCAGCCAAATTGACGGTGAGAGAGCTGGGATGAATTCCGACGATTATATACGAGTACTGCGGAGTACTGCGGAGTACTACCGAGTACTACCGAGTACATACGATTGCCATCACCTCGATAATCTATCTGCACAGGTCAGATGCAATAGAGGCAGCAGATATTATATCATTAGTGGTAGTAGCACTGATACGGATTCCCCTATACTGCGCTGGGCTGGACTGGAATACATGTAGGATCTACGCTATTCTGTTTCACAATGATGTGATGTGTGCTCGACTCACTTTATTCTAGGACTAGACGTCGTGAGATGGACCTTTTTTTTTTTCTTTTTTCAGATCAGCATCTACTTTATTATCTCATATGACTATCACCGCTACTGCCCGAGCCCAGCATCTCTTCCACTTTCCGTCCTTTGCTCGCAAGGTGGTACTGCAATCGTACAGATATCGACTGTACAAGCTGGTCCCTCAACTACCGGGTTGACCCTGGAATGAAACTTGACAAAGGTCATTAGAATCAGAGGCTTGATCCCAGTCACTTTTCTCTCTCTCTCTCTCTCTCTCTCCTGAATGAGCCCGCTCA